CTTCCAATCCCAATCTTTCTCTTCCAATAAATTCAAAATACTTATAATTACTTTGTCCTCATAATCGGAGTCCAATAGCCTCCAACAGCCTAATACCAAACAACAACACCAKGTTAGTGTATCCAGAATAGGTTGTTCCAGAGTTGCAGCCTTGTATAGTCAATTCTCCCTTTGCAGACGCCCCAATATTACGGACACCTTGCTATTGTGGACAGAAGTAACATCCCCAACAAAAAATACTGACAAAAGAATGACTGTAATAAACTCTCACAATTGCGGACACTCACTAATACGAACACCAAATGATGGTCCTGAGGGTGTCCACTATAACAAGAGTTGACTGTACACTAACAGTTATCATTGGATGCTGTGTCTATGGACATTTACTCACCATTTATTGCAATGGCACCAAGTTTTTCTAATGCATCCCAGATTTCCTTTTCACTTGCTTGAACAAGATTTAACAAGTCATCAAAAGAATACTGAAATAACAAGGTACGATGGCAGCCAGAAATTATATTTGTTGTTTGAGAGGTAAACCACTATGTAACCCATGCCACACTCTTACCTTGACTTTGGTTCTCAATTCACCATTTTCCTTGGTTTCATATTCAGGTCCTCTGTACAAAGTCTCTCGGATTAAATTACGTAGTTTATAAAGTTGAGGTCTGACCAATCTCACTTCAAAATATTCTGAATGACAACTGCACACCTAAATTTTAATTTAAAGAATGACCTTACTCATCACTGGCAACATTGTATACATAATTGCAACATTCAAGCACAAACCTGGTGTTCAATTAAGTCTGCTGTCTGATCCTTGAAACCTGTTAATTATAGAAGGAATACAAGTTTTTTAAGGTAAGAAATAGTACAGGTTTAAAATAGCAATCTCTTAAACCTTTCAATTGTATTCATAAATATCCTCCGGGCTGATCTAACTTCTGCAACCAAAATTTTGCCTTGCTARTTTGATGTCATATGGGTTGGGATCCCTGTGGCATCCCTCACTAACCTGGGGCCTTGTCTGCGTCATTTTGGGATCAATAGTAGACTGTTAAGGGGCATTGTTTGACCTCATATGGGATGGGATCCCTGTGGCATCACTCACTAACCTAGGGCCTTGTCTGCGTCATTTTGGGATCAATAGTAGACTGTTAAGGGGCATTGTTTGACCTCATATGGGATGGGATCCCTGTGGCATCCCTCACTAACCTAGGGCCTCGTTTGTGTCATTTTGGGATCAATAGTAGACTGTTAAGGGGCATTGTTTGACCTCATATGGG